AGTACGCGCGGGCGGCGACCAGGAGCATGGACCAGGTGGATGGGGGGCAAGGGGGAGGCTCTTGCTCATGGGTCGAAGACTCTGGGCTTAATTGTGCTGTACACACCAGGTCTGGTACTTGTGGCAGTGGTTGTGGGCCACTGCCCCTTTCACGAGGATACACGCACACCCCTGTGCCTGAGCGAGATCGCATTTTGAACGGTTGGCAGGCGCCAGCACCTGCCATGCCGCACCAACCAACGAAACCCTGCCCCGCCCCCGGGCCCCCCCAGGCCTGCACCCCCGAGGCCCTGGCCGTCAGGCTGCTGCGCTTCCAGGCCCTCCGCGCCGCCGCCGCAGCGGCCGGGGCCCCGCCCGGCGCGTGCGCCGCGGCCGCGTCCGGCGTGCGCGCCGACTGCCTGGCTGAGCTGGCATTTGACCCCCAGCGCCCGGGCCCGCCGCGGCACCTGCGGGACGGAAAGGCGGCATGGCACGCCGCACAGCAGCTGGGGCTGGAGGGCGCGTGGACGGCGGAGGCTGACTGGGTCAACGAGGCAATGCGCGAGCACGCAGCCGCGCAGCGCGCCCGTGGCGCGAAGGCCGCGGCCGCGCTTTTGTCGCGCGGCGGCCCCGGCGCGCCCGCATCCGCAGCGGGTGCGGCGCGCGCCGCGCCGCGGGCGCCGCGGTGGCTGCCAGCGGGCGGCGGCGCTCATGCAGCGTACGAACGGATGAGGAAGGCCGAGGAGGAAGCTGGGCGGAAGCTGTACGCGGCTGGGGTCCCGATCCAGGTGCTGGAAGATATCTCAAGCGTTTACGGCCATTCGATTGCCGCATGGCAGGCTATGGCGCATTCTGCCGGCTGCGAGGCCGCGGCTGTTCCCATCATGGTCAGCTGGCTCGAGCGTCTGAGCCATGAACAAGCCGACGCTAGCAAAGCCGCCGCCGCCGCCCGGGGCGCGCCCGCAGGCGCGGCCGCCGCGGTGGCGCGGCGCGGCGCGCTGCTGCTGCTGCAGGCGGGCGTGGTGGCGGACGCGGCGGCGGCGGGGCCGTGGTGTGGGCTGGCGGCGGAGTACCACCAGCGGCTGGCGGGGCTGGCGGAGGGGGAGGGGGAGGATCCACTCCAAGCGGCAGCAGCTGAGGAGGACAGCCGCCCTGAAACGTTAACCCCCCCGCCGTCTGCCGCGCGCGTGTGAGTGGCTAGGCCAGCGGCGCACCGCTGAGTCAGCACCGGGCGGCCGTTAGTGCCCTCGCAGTCAGGGGGTGCATAATGCGGGGCAGTCGCGACACCAACGGTGTCACCAGGGATGGCCGACACACTGCACAGTGAGCGGCTCGCTTGCCTTCACTTACGGGGCAGCCGTCTTCTTTGTACTTTTGCTGCTGTCGGCAAGGCCCGTACCCCATGCCATCCTGCTTTCGCCCATTGCCGGCCTTCGCCACCCACCCGCCCTTCGCAGCCTGGAGGCCATGGATCGTGCGGCCGAGGCGGTGGGCCCCGGGGCCCTGCTGGCGGCCGCCCCCTGGTTCCACGCAGATCACCTGCTGGGGGCAGGCGGCGCCGCGGGAGCAGCGGCCGCGGCTGCGGAGGGGCCGGCCGACAAGGAGTGCGACTGGTGCGGGGAGGAGGCGCCCACGGGCGTTCAGAGCAGCGGCGGCCTGGAGTGCGCGTCCTGCGGCTGCGCGCGCTACTGCAGCCAGGGCTGCGCGGCGCGGGCGGCCCCGCTGCACGCGCGCAACTGCTGGCAGCTGCGGCTGCTGTCGGCCAAGGGCGTCGTGCTGCGCGCCAGGTTTGACCCGGAGCGGCCGGCGTTTGACTACGGGGATGACCCCCGGAAGCAGCAGCGCCCCTGAGAGCAAAACAACCTCCAGCTTCGTGTTTTTATGAGCAGGCAAACAAATCATGAACCTGGGACCTCCTATCAACAGGCCTTTTGCAGGTTTTGCCCTCCAGTACACTGAGGTCGTGTGCAGGAGGGGTCCCTAATAGGTGCTGCATACGGGCCGCTGTCACCCCGTCATGTTTAACAGGGCTCCAGGGTCCTAGCAGGCTAGGTGTCTACCGCATGACTCGAGGTGTCTGGGTGGGTCGTGTCTGCCGTTGAGCGGATGCAGTGGTCCTCGTACATGTTGTTGGCAGGAGTGAATATGGTAGCTTTGTATGCTGGAACCTGCAGTTTCTTGCAAATGCGTTGTTGAGTACGCACAGGGGGCGCGGGTGAGCGGCGTCAGCTGGGAAGGAAGCGTGCGCTGAGTGTCGTGGCCTTGCTTTGACCGCATGCACGACACTCAACTTGGAAGGTGTAAAGAGCGTGGTGACGGCGTCTCAGGACCCTTTGGAAATTTGTGGTGTTTGTTGTGGGGCTCAGGGTTCAGGTCTGGGTGGGCCGGCCGGTTGCTGCCTGCATAATGGCGCCCAAAAAACGCATTGGTGCGAGGAGCGAGGGCGTCTCTATGTGCCGATACTGCGTATTTGTCTGGCCTGTCAGGCGCCTTGGATCTTTTGGCCTGGATCAACATCGGTCGGGTCAAGCAGGCGAGCGTGGTGCTCAGAAACTGGCAGAGCAAGCACGCATCCTAGAAGCAGGTGAACCCTCAAACCACCCTCCGCTGCTGGAGCTGTGCGGCGCGGCCGCTGATTTGAGGGCACGCCTTGACAATCGTTGGTTACATCTTCATTGGGGGCGCTCTGAGCGCCTGCAAGGCGTTTCTCAGCCCAGCCCTGAGGCCTATTGACAAGCAGGCGTGTCGCAGCCCGCCCACCCCTGCCACGCCTTTGTGCCCGCTGAAAGTGCAGCAGCGTGCACCCGTGCCCGCCTGATTGCGATCCGTGACACAGCAGGACATAGCAGGCAGAGGGATAGTAAAGTGTATGCGAGTGTACCGCCACCAAAGACAAAGCACAAGCCACGCAAATCCCGAAAGCAGCGCCACAGCGCTGTGTGCGGTGCTGCAAGCACGGAACGCAAACCCCTCCCTACACCTGCACACCTCAAAACACTGGGGAGAGAGAAATAGGATGATAGTCTACGCTGCGACGCTGAGCTACGCACCCACCACACATGGAGAGGATGACATTGCAGCAGCCTCAGCTATGGCCGTTGCCCGCCGGCTGGGCGGGGTCGTCCCCGTAGTCAAACGCCGGCCGTTCCGGGTCAAACCTGGCACGCAGCACGGCGCCCTTGGCCGACAGCAGCCGCAGCCGCCAGCAGTTGCGCGCGTGCAGCGGGGACGCCCGCGCAGCGCAGGCTTGGCTGCAGTAACGCGCGCAGCCGCAGGACGCGCACTCCAAGCCGCCGCCGCTCTGGCCGCCCGTGAGTGCCTCTTCGCCACACCAGTCGCACTCCTTGTCGACCGGCCTCTCCGCGCCCGCGGCCGCTGCTCCCGTGGCGCCGCCTCCCCCCAGCAGGTGGTCTGCGTGGAACCAGGGGGCGGCCGCCAGCAGGGCCCCGGGGCCCACCGCCTCGGCCGCACGGTCCATGGCCTCCAGGCTGCGGGGGGTGGTTTGGGGGGTTGAGCGAGCGATCAGCACCGCCCCGCAGGCCAGGGAGTGCGGCGACGACACGCCCCAAGCAGGGACATCTCCTGAACAACACGCACATATGCGCACAAACGCACCCGCCCCGCAGGCGGCGGCCCAGGACCCCCGCGCTGCGCCGCGCTGCCCGCCCCCGCCCGCGCCCCCGCGCCGCTCACAACGCCTCGGGCCTTGGCGGCGCGGTGCGGCCCTGGTTGGCGCTGCCCTCATCGTCACCGCCGCCCTGCGCCTCGTCACCCGCCGCCTCCGCCAGCCCCGCCAGCCGCTGGTGGTACTCCGCCGCCAGCCCGCACCACGGCCCTGCCGC